CATATTCAGGATCAACTGAAGTGGGGATAGCCAGCGGTGAGGCAGGCCAGTGAGGAGGGAGTTGCAGTAGTCGAGTCGTGATATGATGAGGGAGTGGATGAGCTGTTTAGTGGTTTCTGGGTTTATGAATTTTTTTCGCAATACGAATGGATTAATTGGTTTTCAATGCATTTAAAAAATGTTTTCTTAATCATGTCCCTGTACAGTACTATGCCTTTAAAGTGCACTTTATAAAGAGTTTTGAACAGATAAAACTTTTTTTTACTTTTTTCTGACCTCCGAAACGGATTAATTGGTTTTGAATGCATTTACAAATTTTTTTAATCATGTCCCTGTACAGTATTTATGCCTATAAAGTGCACTTCATAAAGAGTTTTGAACAGATAAGACTTTTTTTTACTTTTTTTCTGACCACCGGAATGGATTAATTGGTTTTCAATGCATTTACAAATTAATTTTTAATCATGTCCTTATACAGTATTTATGCCTTTAAAATGCACTTTATAAAGAGTTTTGAACAAATAAAAACAATTGAATACTGTCCGTGATACTTTTTTTTATTTGCACTAACATACAATTTCTACAAGTTCAGTACTGCTTGGACCTGAAGAAGGGGATGTTCCCCGAAATCTTGTCCTCAAAATTGTATGTTAGTGCAAATAAAAAAAGTATCACGTCAGTACTCAATTGTTTCTGTTGCAAATGCACTAATACGGCTACAATCACCTCGAACAGATAAAAGACTTTTTTACTTTTTTTCTGACTTCCGGAACGGATTAATTGATTTTCAATTCATTCCTATGGGAAACCGCTTTTCGGTTTACAAATGTTTTTGCAAAAAGTCCAGCAGAACGCATTGAATTTGTAAACTGAGGTACGCCTGTATTTGCTGATACTTTGTGCTTTCCAATGCTGTTTTCTTTTTGCTGAATGATTTGAAATAAATAAGAGAATAATTCTGTGCAAGGAGCAGCATTTTCTGACACTGACAAATAGCCTGCATATATTTGTATATCATGAATGTACCCTAGGATGGTGAATCTTTGCTCTGCAATGTTGGTATTGAAGTGACTTGCAGCGTCTCCGTCAGTGGTTGCACCTTCCAGAGGAACGATGGGAATGCTTTCCTGAGGCAAACTACCAGCTATGTCCCAGGGGGAAAATGGCTTCCTATTTGCCTGGGCAAACACATACAGGAACATTTGCAGGGTGAAGGGGAGCATGACCTAAATGGTAGGAATTCCTCACTACCTGGCTTCTTCTGTTTGGTTTTAGTCCAAGCAGAAAGAAGGACAAAGGTTTGAAGATTAAAATGTAAACACAAAAATCTATTATAATTACAAGAGTGTTTCAAATTATTTCCTTAAACTACGGCATAATTTACCTCTAGTCAAGGTCTCTATTGGTGCTGAAAGAGGAAACTGCTTGACCTCTACGTGACCTCTGATCCTTAGGGTCAGAGCCCATGGAATGCACAGATGTCATGGTTCATAAGTAAGGACAGAAAAACTCAGAATTCCCAGGCAGAGAGGCGCCAGTGTGTGGATGGATCTAACATGTACACCTTCTCCACCCCCCACACTTGGATGTTCTGCTCCCCACACATGTTCTACATTCCTGTCTAACATGTATGTGCCCATCCCAGACTCGGCTGCAGGACCCACTGCACACACTCACCTCGGCCTTCCTGGAAAACAAATGTGCTGCCGTAAGAAATATTAGCTGGTCCCCCACCACCTATTTTTAGCCAGAGATTTGAGTAGAAACAGTTTGATTTATCAATGATGTATGTGATATTATGCATCACCAATCTCCCAATATTTAGAGAAAACTGACATTTTAATACACAAAAGTCAGAAATAATACAATATAACTCACTCAAAGTTTTCGGCGCCTTTCCCAAGGCTAGTCTGATCTGAACGAAAGCTTAAAAGCAGGGCTCTCCAAACTATGGCCCTCCAGCTGTTGAAATACTACAAGTCTCATCATGCCTCTGCCTCTGGGAGTCTTTCCTGTGGTTGTCTTGCAAGGCCTCATGGGACTTGCAGTTCCTCAACACCTGGAGGGCAAAGGTTTGGAGACCCCTGGCTTAAAGTGACACTAAAGGTTTTTTTTTTTAAATAACAAAAATGTCATGCCTGCTCTGTGCAATGGTTTTGCACAGAGCAGCCCTGATCCTACTCTTCTCGGGTCCCCACCGGCACTCCCTACTCCTCCTTTTCTCGGGTTCCCCACCAGCTTTCCTGGCTCCTCGCCCCTGCCTATTGGGGGCACTTGTGCATGCTCGCTCCTGAGCCGACTCTGTGTGTCCATAAGACGCACAGAGCAGCCCTGATCCTCCTCTTCTTGGGTCCTCCACCGGCACTCCCCACTCCTCCTTTTCTTGGGTTCCCCACAAGCGTTCCTGGCTCTTCTCCCCTGCCTATTGGAGGCACTTGTGCATGCTCGCTCCTGAGCCTACTCTGTATGTCCATAAGATGCACAGAGCAGCCCTGATCCTCCTCTTCTCGGGTTCCCCACTTCTCCTCTTCTCGGGTTCCCCACCAACATTCCTGGCTCTTCTCCCCTGCCTATTGGAGGCACTTGTGCATGCTCACTCCTGAGCTGACTCTGTGTGTCTATAAGACGCACAGAGCAGCCCTGATCCTCCTCTTCTCGAGTCCCCCACCGGCACTCCCCACTCCTTCTCTTCTCGGGTTCCCCACCAGCGTTCCCGGCTCCTCTCCCCTGCCTATGGGGGCACTTGTGCATGCTTGCTCCTGAGCTGACTCTGTGTGTCCATAAGATGCACAGAGCAGCCCTGATCCTCCTCTTCTCGAGTCCCCCACCGGCACCCCCCACTCCTCCTCTTCTCAGGTTCCCCACCAGCGTTCCCGGCTCCTCTCCCCTGCCTATGGGGGCACTTGTGCATGCTCGCTCCTGAGCCGACTCTGTGCGCCCATAAGACACACAGAGCATGGCTCAGCCCCACCCTCTGCTCCCTCCTCACTAGCTGTGATTGACAACAGTGGGATCCAGTGAGGAAGGAGTGACCCAGAAGAGCCACTGCTCTTATGCACATCGCTGGATGGAGTTTGGGCTCAGGTAAATCTTGGGAGGGAGGAACTGCACACTGAAGGTTTTTTTTCCCTTCACATATTCTATGCATTCTACCTTCAGCCTTTAGAACCATTTTAACGGCTTGTCACCCCTGAAAGCAAGAATTAAAAGTCAGCAGCTACAAATAGTGTGGCTGTTGACTTTTAGCAAAAGGACAATTACCTGTTCAAGGATACAGCGCTGTCCTCACCAGGGCCAGTTCTATACCAGACTTTGGCTCCCTGGCACTGGTATATTTAGTGTCAGAAGCTGGCTGTGACACCTTGCAGCTTTACATCCAGCTTCCCACTGTGCATGCACGAGCTGCACATGCACAAGCTGCGCTGTGCTTTGTGAATGGTCCTGCAGCCTTCTGGGACCTGTGACATGTTCCAGAAGGCTGCGGGCACAGGGTGTGTGGGGAGGTGAACTTCCGCTCAGATTGCCTAGGTAATCCGAGTGGAAGTAGGAGCCGGTATCTGTCAAAACCAGGTATCTGCTCCCCCCACCAAAAAAAAAAAATAAAGTGCCAAAAATTAAAGGGGGGGGGGGGGAGGCGGCAGAAAAACAGAACTTCCCCTTTAGAATGAAGATCTGCTTTAATGTTAGTCTATAGGCAGGCAGATGCAGGCAGACATGTGTCCATTTACATCCGGTTGCCTCTGAGTCCATCTTGGTCCAGAAACAAAAAGGAAAAGGCCTGTGTCATTTTCATTTTCGTTTTCAGACATAAAAGTGACAGACCAGAGCTAGTCGGATGTATGCAGAAGCACATCCACTTACATATGCCTGCCTATAGACCTAAGATAGGTGTGTTCAGCACTGGGAAGGGAAGCCTGAATGGACACAGATGTCACCAAAGGCTGTGATTCAGCAGATCTATTCATGGGTCCCCTGCTGATTAGAATGGATAGGGTCAGTTTGAAAGGGCCCTTACTCTGCTTGAAGTGCTAAATGTAAGAACAATCACCTACAGGATAAAGAACAGTGGAGCTGTTACCCATAGCAAATACATTGCTTGTCTCATGTTCTTAGATATATGTTTATAAACTGAAGATAAATATTATTATTATTATTATACTGGATTTATATAGCGCCAACAGTTTGCTCAGCGCTTTACAATATAAGGGAGACAATACAGCAACAATACAGTTCAATACAAGAGGGTTAGGAGGGCCCTGCTCCTTGGAGCTTACAATCTAAGACAGCCTGCTACAAGCATAATCGGATTTCCCACTTATTTAATTTTTTTATTTTATTATTTTACATGCCATGTGGTGAGCACAAGAAGAATGTCTTGCATAGATATAATAGACAAATAAGTAAAAACACAAAAGACAAATAAACGATTTTATCTCTTTTTTTTTTAATCAGCAGCTGAATCTCTGTTGGTTAGGAATATTCTCCATGACCATTTAATGGCCATTTAACTATACTCACAAATTCCCAATTCACAAATAAGCGATCTATCTGTGAGGTAAGTAGAACACAGACAAATCAAATGGTCACTGAGCTAGGTCATAGTGTATGTGAGGATTGGCCTTCTATCAAGCTAATTGTGTAATCAGCTGCCAGTAAATGCAGCATTTCCCCTTTCGCTGGAGGAAGACCATGCAGAGACCCCGCTGCCTTACTAACGCGCGCGTGTGTGTGTGTGGTAGTGGTGGGGGCTCTCCATTGAGGGGATTTACACAGTATCACAACAAACCATTACTAGAACGTCTTGGTGAACTATCCATGTCCTCCTGCCTCTTCGTATAAAAAAATCTGCCTTAGATACATAGTTGATGATAGTTCATCCTATTTTACGTTTGCATGAAGTTGAAGAAGAATTGATATTAACCGCTTTGCCCCGCTGCCCTATAGCAGACATACTGCTACAGGGCGGTGGGGGTGCGCAAAATCATATATATATATATATGTGATTTTGCATTCCCGGGTAGGGGGAGAGCGTGAACCACACACTCGCCCTACCTACGCCACTATTCCTGCCCAGTCATTACTTGCTGGCACCCGGTGATCGCTGACCATTACCGAAGGAGGGATAAAACTGTATTGCTTACATACTTGTCAGCTCCTGCACGCTGTTTTTTCGAGCCATGCAAAGCAGTGCTCTTGCAGTTGAAAGCACACATATACAGCACACAGTAACGCAGCCCACAGCACATAGTTAACCCTTTGATCGCCACACATGTTAACCCCATCCTGCCCAGTGCCATTAGTACAGTGTCAGTGCTTTTTATTAGCACTGATCACTGTATTGGTGTCACTGGGGTTGTCAGTGACACCAAGTCAATTCCCTGCAGTGTCCAAATGGCGCGCCGCCCAGACCTACTATATGTCACTGATCGCCGCCATTACTAGTAAAAATAAAAAATTTATTTAATTAAAAAATCCCAGTATATATACCACCATTTGTAAATGGTATAACTTTCACATAAACCAATTAATTTACACGTATTGGGATTTTTTTTAGCAAAGACATGTAGCAGAATATTATTATTATTATACAGGATTTATATAGCGCCAACAGTTTGCTCAGCGCTTTACAAAGTGAAGGTAGACATCTCCTAGATTGTAAGCTCGAAAGAGCAGGGCCCTCAATCCCCTCATGTTTTGCATTGTATTGTTATTGTTCTGTCACATGTTCTGTCCCCCTTTGTAATACTGTATAATAATAATAATAATAATTACAGTTACAATACAATTTGGTACAACAGGAAACAGAGGGCCCTGCTTGTTAGAGTTTACAATCTAGGAATACATTTTGGCCTAAATTTATGATGAAATTTGATTTTTATAAATTTTTTCACTGGACATGTTTAATAGCAAAAAAGTCACAAATATTGTTTTTTTTCTCCATATTGTCGGTCTTTTTTTTTTTTTATAACGCAAAAATAAAAATCGCACAGGCTATCAACTACCAACGAAAGAAAGCTCTATTTGTGGGAAAAAAAAAAAAGTATGTTTCATTTGGGTGCAGTGTTGCATGACTGCGCAATTACCAGTGCAGCGCCGTAACTCAAAAAATGGCCTGGTCAGGAAGGGGGGTAAATCCTCAGGAGAACAAGTGGTTTATAGGGCAAATCAAATGCTAAACATTAAAAATGTATTCGATAGTAAAAGAAAACTGCACGTTGTGAAGTTTCTGTCCATCCACCCATGGCATGAAGAATTATCTATATCCAATCTAATACTTTGATTGTAAGCTCCAAGGAGCAGGGCCCTCCTATCCCTCTTGTATTGAACTGTATTGTTGCTGTATCGTCTCCCTTTATTTTGTAAAGTGCTGAGAAAACTGTTGGCGCTATATAAATCCTGTATAATAATTATAATACTAATAATCACATAAGAAAAACATATTTATAATAGGAGAGACACCAGATTGCTATGGTTTATAGAGTTTTGCTTTTTTCAACATGTTATTATTATTTTGTCAGTTATTATTGAATTTCATATTATATTTCCTAAAATAAACTTGCCAATAATAAAACTGGTTAGTCTATTCAAAAATGTTCAATGATGAGCTGAATGTCCCAGCCCAATTTTCACCTCAGTAGCTAAGTAGCATAGTACTCTTAACCCCTTCAATGCTTCGGGTCATACATTTCAGAGGAATGTGCTGTCAAATCTTGCAGCCACTGCTGGTCAACGCAGGTCAAAGGTTAACCAGAATGTTGAAGTTGCATACTCCTTTCAAACTGAGTTCTGCCTGATCAAAGGATCCCCAAATTAGTTTGCCTTTCAATCACTATAATTGTCAGCCTGGCTTGGAGCTTGAGAAACATTCCTTTAAATCCTGTTTCCAATCTTTGGGCGGTTTTAAAGAGGGAATGTGTAACTGGTGTCTGCTATTAGCCTAGGGGGGTCTGATGTAACTGGGAAGCTGCCTCACACCCACTATAACCAATGAACATTTAATTGGTGAAAGTTCTTCACCAGTTACATTCATGGACACCTTGTCTACAAAGCAAGTACATTAAGGGCTATGTATATGGTGTGAGCTTGTGGAAGTGCTCAGTTTTGCATTCTGCACAAAGATTGCCCAGACTGATGGATCCTTATCAATCTGATTGTTTATGGAGATGAGTCTTGTAAAACAGCAAAGCAATGTACAAAAGTACATGAAACCATTAGATGGTTATCATATAACACATGCAATTGTGAGTCCACAAACAACAATAACTATTCTAGGAAGACAATCAATAAAATTAGGCTTACCTGATTAAAATATTAAAAAAAAAAAAAAAAAAAACCCACACAATCAATAAAAACAATCACCTCCAACTCCACAGTATAAGACTAAAAATATGTTTAGCTGATCCACCACTGTTATTGCCCTCCTGGGGATTTACCCCCCTTCCTGACCAGGCCATTTTTTTGCGTTACAGCGATATGTTACTTTAACTGACAATTATTATACAGTATTTATAAAGTGCCAAAAGGTTTGCTCAGCGCTGTACATTATAGTGGGGGACAGTACATGAGACAATACAGTAACAAAACAATACACGAGGGGTTCTAGGGCCCTGCTCTTTCAAGCTTACAATCTAGGAGGGAGGGGATAGTGGTACAGGGGAAGTGGCTGTGGGGGATGGAGTGGTAGGAGGAATGGAGGAGATCGGCTGTTAGGTGAGGGCGGGGTAGGCTTTCCTGAAGAGATCGGTTTTCAGGGTGCGCCTAAAGGTGAGGAGGGTAGGTGACAGTCTGATGGATTGGGGTAGTGAGTTCCAGAGGATGGGGGAAGTCCTGGATAAGTCCTGCAGTCGGGCGTGGGAGACCAGGGAGCTAGAAAGTAGGAGGTCTTTGTGAGGAGCGAAGAGTACGGGTTGAGTGGTATTTGGATATCAGGTCGGTGAGGTAGTTTGGGGCAGTGTTATGAATGGCTTTGTATGTCAATGTTAGTAGTTTGAATTGAATGCGTTGGGCAATCGAAAGCCAGTGGAGGGAATGACAGAGGGGGGTGGCAGAAGCAGAGCGGTTGGTAAGGTGGATGAGTCTGGTCGCTGAGTTCAGGATAGACTGAAGCGGGGATAGCCTGTGTTGGGGTAGGCCGGTGAGAAGGGAGTTGCAGTAGTCCAGACGTGAGATAATAAGGGAGTGAACGAGTTGTTTAGTAGTGTCTGGGGATAGGAACGTACGTATTTTGGAGATGTTGCGGAGGTGGAGCCTGCATGAATTTGCCAGCGATTGGACATGGGGTTGGAAGGACAGGTTTGAATCTAGACTGACACCTAGGACTTTGGCTTGCGGGGTGGGACTGATGGTGGCGTTGTTGGTCGTGATGGAGAGGATGGGGGGGGGCGCAGGCTGGGGGGAAAATTAGGAGCTCGGTTTTGGAAAGGTGCAATTTGAGAAAATGGAGCGACATCCAGTCTGATATGTCGTTCAGTAGGTGAGTGATATGGGCGGAGACTGAAGGGGTGAGGTGAGGGGTGGAGAGTTAAATTTGCGTGTCATCGGCATAGAGGTGATAGTTGAAGCTGTGGGAGTGTATCAGTTTGCCGAGGGAGGAGGTGTAGATGGAGAAGAGAAGGGGCCCAAGGACAGAGCCTTGGGGGACCCCAACAGAGAGGGGGAGAGAGGGGAAGGTGGTAGCGTTATAGGTAACACTGAAGGAGCGTTGGGATAGATAGGAGGAGAGCTAGGAGAGAGCGGAGTCTCTGATGCCAGGGTAGGGTAGTTTATTAAGGAGGAGGGGGTGGTCAATTGTGTCGAAGGCCGCGGAGAGGTCGAGGAGTAGGAGGACTGAGTAGTGGCCATTAACTTTGGCGGTTAGCAGGTCATTAGTGATTTTGAGTAGGGCGGTATCAGTGGAGTGTAGGGGACGGAAGCCAGATTGTAGTGGATCGAGGAGGTTGTTGTCAGTGAGGTGGGAGCTTAGGCAATTGTAGACTAAGTGCTCAAGGAGCTTGGATGTAAATGGCAGCAGGGAGATGGGTCTAAGGTTGTTCAGGTCGGTGGGGTCCAGGGAAGGTTTTTTGAGTATGGGGGTGATGTGCGCGTGCTTTAGGGGGAGGGGAATGCGCCAGTAGAGATGGAGAGATTGAAGATGTAGGTGAGGAAGCGTAGGATGGAGGAGGAGGGTGACTGGAGGAGTTGTGTGGGGACAGGGTCAAGGGGGCAAGTGGTGAGGCGAGTTTCTGAGAAGACCTTGGTGACCTCCTCAGTGGTAGCAAGGCTGAAGGAGCGGAGTGCTGGGGAGGTTATAGCGTGCGGGATGCTAGATGTGGTGGGGGGCAGGGCGATTGCGAGGTCAGAGGAGGGGAGAGTTGAGGGGGTTATTGTGGGAGGGAGGCTAGGTGGGGAGGTGGATTGAGCATTGGCAATGTCTTTACGGATTGCGTCAATATTGGTTTGGAAATGATTGGCAATCTGTGGGTGGTGAGTGAGGTACTGGGTGGAGGTGGGGGGGGGGGAGAGAGTAGGGAGTTGAAAGTGGAGAAGAGCCGGCGAGGACAGGTGGAGTGGGTGTTGATGAGGGTTACGAAGTAGGCTTGTTTGGGGCGGCGTGGAGGGAGGAGGTGTAGGTGAGGAAGGTGGATTTGTAGAGGGAGAACGCTCGAGGGGATCTGGTTTTGCGCCATAATCGCTCCAGCGCGTGACTGTGTCGTTTAACATTTTTAGTGTGGTCGTTCTGCCAGGGTTGAAGCGGTCGGGGTCTAATGATGCGTGCGGTTAGGGGTGCTAAGGAGTCTAAGGCAGCTGACAGTGAGTCGTTATACGCAGTAGTGGCCAGGTCAGGGCATGACAGTGGAAGGATACTGTCGTACAGACGGTCAGCTGCAGAGTGGAGAGGGGCCCAAATGAAGTTTACGTCCTTTTTTTTCCCACAAATTGAGCTTTCTTTCAGTGGTATTTGATTGCCTGTGCATTTGTTTTTTTGCGCTATAAAAAAGAGCAACGATTTTTTTTTTTTTTTTGAGAGAAAAAAACAATATTTTTTACTTTTTGCTATTAAACATGTCCAGTAAAAAATTCAAATTTCGTCATAAATTTAGACAAAAATGTATTCTGCTACATGTGTTTGCTAAAAAAAATCCCAATACACGAAAAGTAATTGGTTTACGTGAAAGTTATAGCGTTTACAAATGCCTGTATAGATACTGGAATTTTTTTTTTTTATTTTTACTAGTAATGGCAGGGATCAGCAACTTATAGCAGGACTGTGGAGGAGGGCAATCTGACACTGGGGGGAACTGACATGGTGTCACTGACGTCCAAGTGACACCAATACAGTGATCAGTGCTAAAAAAAAAAAAGCACTGACACTGTACTAATGGCACCGGGCAAGAAGGGGTTAATGTGGGTGGCGATCAAAGGGATAACTGCGTGTTT